AATAAGCTTGGTGCCCTATATAAACCCCAAAAGAGTGGTGAAAACGACATATCCAATATTGTTTTTCAACATATATCGTGTATATAATTTTAAAAATCACCAAAATTTAAAATTTTTAGAGTTTTGATAGTTTTTAATTTCTTGAAGTTTCCCCTTTTTAATAACTTGAGTGGAATTCCAAAATTTTCTAAACTTTCAAAACTTTCTGAATTTGAGAAATTTTAGTAAATCCCAATAATTCAATAATAATGATGAATACTAGATTAATAGAAATTTTTTATTTTTCAAAAATTTTGAGAATTGTAGGAATTCTAACAAATTTTTTCTAAGTAAAAGTGTCGAATATACAAAATTGATCAAACGAAAATAAACTTTTCGAATGTTGAAAACATTTTCATATTTCGTCTTTTTTGAAAATTTAGAAAGTTTTCGTAATTCTTGAAGATTCAAAAAATTTTTGGACGTTGATGTTTTCAAAATTTTCAAAAATTTTAAAATTCTCAAACGTTGTTATATCAATTCAAAATTTTGAAAAAGTTCAGAAAAGTGGAACAATGTTGGAATTTTTCAAAAATAATATTATCTTTTAGAATTCTAAGAATTTTCTATTTTTTACACAAGTACCATGAACATAAGAATTTTTCGACAATTTGTGATGTTTCACATTTTTACATTTATGATGGATTTAAGGATAAATAAAATTCTCAAAATTGTGGAAAATATAAAGATTTCTAAAATCTCAATATTGTACATTTCAATATATTCTCATTTTACCAAAATTCCTTGAAACTAACGGATTTCGATAGTTTTTGAAATTTTGGAAATTATCCTAAAAATAAGAAATCTCAAGAAATTTAATAATATAAAATTCAAAATTTTGGAATATTCGTTGTTTTCTGAACCTGTGAAAATATTCAAACTTGCTGTGAGTTTCAACTGTGTAAAATTTCCCCTACCTGGGTCCGCCACTGTGCCCAACACAACTTGGAGAGTCATTCGGCTTCCATGGGCAAACCTGTCTTGGCGAAAAGGATCTTTGGTTTAAAGTAAAAAGCATATAGCTTTGGAAAACAAATAAAATATTTTGACTATGGGAAAAATTAATATCAAGAATCAGAAACATTCTTTGCGCATTAAGTTGGCAAATTTTTCGCTCGTTTCGACTGAAGATATTTGAAAATTCCAGCAAACAACAAAAATCGTTATTCAAGGAACAACGAGAGTAACTAGCTTCAAATATGGGCTTTAATACCACTGGGGATTTGTAAGATCTACTTCCCAACAAAGCTTTACTTATTCAAAACAGAATGATAACGTGTTGAAACTTAAATAAACCAANATTTTGACTATGGGAAAAATTAATATCAAGAATCAGAAACATTCTTTGCGCATTAAGTTGGCAAATTTTTCGCTCGTTTCGACTGAAGATATTTGAAAATTCCAGCAAACAACAAAAATCGTTATTCAAGGAACAACGAGAGTAACTAGCTTCAAATATGGGCTTTAATACCACTGGGGATTTGTAAGATCTACTTCCCAACAAAGCTTTACTTATTCAAAACAGAATGATAACGTGTTGAAACTTAAATAAACCAAACTTTACAAATAGGAGGAAATAATACAAATTTTACTACAAAATTTCAGTAAAATATATGCGGCAAAGCGTAAAACAAATAAAATTGTGCAATAGAAATACAATCCAATACCAACAAATAAAATTATCTTTAAAACATTTTGAAAAGTAGTCGGTAACCTAAAGCTGAGATCACACGATTGCCGCAAATGCACCAATCTGGAACAATTTTTATTATGCTGTATTGGAGCACGATAAAAAAATTGTCCCAATCAAATTCTGTACAGTCACACGGTTGCCTCTTTTTATACAATTTTGATTGCTGCAAGTTGGTCAAAATCAATATAGTGACAATAATTGCCCCAAACTTATCACACGATTGTTATAGCATGCGGCAATCGTGAAAATAAGATGTTGGCTGACTTCTAAATTCTGTTTTGTTTTTTGTTGTGTAAAACTGGTGTAGTCTTAAAAAAAAGAAAATTGCATCTAATTTATATATTGTGGGCTCATTTTATGCATATTTGTTGTTTGAAAGCAAAGAAGCAAAAACTTGAGCCCAATGAAAACTGACGCATTTATTTAGAAGTTTGAGTGTACAGTTTTTTTATTTTTCGCCGATAACTGCAACGTGCTAAATATGTGGAGTTCAAGTTACAAGAGTTTTCTTTTTAATTTTGGTTTTCTTTTTAATTTTGCTTTTTTATTAATTACAGGTATAATAAAATAAATAAAAATTTCAGATTTATACAACAATTATAAACATTTCTTAAACTTTTGATCACAATTCAATGGTTTTTAATTTGGATTTCTAGAAAAGAATTTGTTATGCTGTTTACAAAGTAATTTGCATAGAAGAAAGTGCATAATACCGCCTGCTAAAAAAATTGTAAAAAATCGACAGGATTATTTAGCAACTTCAAACTTGCACCTTATTGTACTAAATTTTAATGAGCTATAAAACTGAATAACAATTTTTTTTTCTAAAAATCGAAATTAAAAACCGTGCAATTGTGTTCAAAAATTTAAGAAATTTATATAATTTTTGTATAAAGCTTGCAATTTATACGGTTTTGTTAGACAATGAGCTATACTTTTATAGAAAAATAATGAACACTAAACAAATAGAAGAATCATAGTCAAAACTGGTCAAAATGTTGAGGTTCTACCGTTTCGTCTGGGCTGTATTGAACTTTTAAGTTTTTTTTTAAATAAATTTATACTGTCATGGCAGTTTGCCAATTGGTGACATAAAATATATTTCGTATTCTTCTCGTAAGAGTTTTGCTTGTGGTGGTATATATCGCAGCAAAGATTCCGTCATCGGACTTCAAGAAAAATTTTAATTTGAATACAAATTAAATTAAAAGTTATGTTGCTTCCGAAAACAAGGATATTCATTTCAGTGATTTTTGGACATAGAAGGAAGCAAAAAAGTAAATTTTAAATAAACCGCCTAAATATTGTTGTGTATTGTTCACTTCAATTTCCGCACAAGAACACAATAAATATTGCCGCAATTTTGAAATTTTCATTGCCCCATGATTGCCAATCGAGCTATCACACGATTGCCGCAAGTGGGTTGTATTTGATTGGGCATTGTAAGCACAATATCGGCCTCTATTGCCGCATGAGTCAATTTATTGTGAAATCACACGATTGGGGCATAAAATGAGGCAATAATTGGTGTATTGCGGCAATCGTGGGATCTCAGCTTAACACTTGTTTCTTTGCACATATAAATATTTTCTACGAAAATGTCAGCATAATGTTACAATTAAATTACCTTGTTATAAACTAATGCATATTCATAAATTTTTTTATATTCTTTTGATAAAGTAAATGAATACAATTATTGGGAAAAAATATCAAAGATCTAGTATTGGTTTTTCATTTAACTAGTTGAAGTTGAAGTATTGCACTTTTTTTTTCTGGGGTATTGCTTAAAATTAACTTGAAACTTAACTAAGAAAGAGAGAAAAAAAAACTTTTTTTTTAGATAGGCTTACAACTAAGGATTTGACCTACGTAAATCATAACTTGGTAATTTTATAGAAAAGAGGGAAAACAAAAACAAGACGAAGAAACACAAAATCTTTAAAGTAGGGATTTTTTTTTTTGGAAAAAACTAAGAAATTAAAACAGAATAAAATGTAAATGGAAGAAAGCTAAACAGAAATTTAATAGAACGGACTAAACTAAATTTTTTTTATTCATTCATACATATATCAGTGGCATAGCCAGGGGGGATTTGGGGGATAGATCCCCCCCTTCGTCAGTGAAATGAAACTTTTTATTTTGAATTAATAACACAATACTATTTTACCCTTCCGCTTTATAATTTTTTTATTTCAGAATGATGACAAATTATCTTTTAATGAATATATAAAATTATCGGTTGGTGGATTATGTATTTGAATATTTGCGAAATACACTAGGCCATTTTGCTTAGTTCCCCACAGTGTTATGCAATAAAATTGTTCCTTCAGTACGAAATCTATACAAAAACTGTACTTTTCGACTGTAAATTGTATCGACTTTTTAATTTGCTCATATGCATGCATGCATACATAGATTCCCTTTAAGGGTGGGTAACTCAGCAAATTGGCAGGAGTTGACTCAATAACTCCGACTCACTTTAAGGAGTCAGCTCATTCAACTAACTCATTTGACTCTTTGTATGTTACACTCATTCGTATCGTAGACTCGTTTTGAATGTGATGTCTTGACTCAAGGCGAATTTGTTTGTATAAATTCGCCTTGTCTTGACTCATATTTTGAAACTTTATGCCAGGGTTGAAATTTGGATTGCAAGTTAACCGTCCTGTTCATAGATGGGTACCCGGGTAACTTTTGCATATTCAAGTGCAATTTTTATTATAAACTACTGATAATAACGAGTTAAAATTTGGTGACATCCTAAAAATATAAATTTTCTACAAAATGGAGAAAAGCTAAATTTAAATGCAATTTCATAAGGATGGTTTTTAAGTAAAATAATTTTATATTATTAGGTGGGGTGTACCTGGGTACAACTAGTAGGTACAACAACTGTTCACTTGCAAGTTTTTACTAGTTTTGTGTTCAGTAACTTTTTCTGCTAGTTTTCTCTTCTCAATTTTACGCTCTATTATGCTTTTACGCTCTCGCTGCAATTATTACTGGAGAAGTTACTATACAAACCTAATATGTTTCCGTTAATTCAAATAAACTCGCAGCTTACTTGATTTTTTCAAAATTATCAAAGAAACAGCCTTAACTGCCTTTTGGTACCCGATCGAACTAAGGAGAAAAATTATTCATGAACAGGCCGGTTAACGGAAATTTTTAAATATTGTAATCGACTTATCCATATTGCGTAAGTAAATTATTTATAAATATTATTTATACATACATATTTAGAATCTTTAACGTACAGGTGTTCCTGATGTCACGAAAGACCAGTGATGTGTGGTTGCTGTTTTCGGAGGAGAAGGAGAAAAAAGTGCAATGCCGACTCTGCTCCCAAAAGATTTCTGTGGCAAACAAATCGACATGTAACCTTTTGCGCCATATCAATAATAAGCACCCCACGCAAAGGATTACCAGACAAGAGCCACCAATAAGAGTGGACCCGGACGATAATAATGGCAACTCCACTCCTCAGGTGCAAACATCAGATGCACAATCCCTACCACCAGTTGTCGCACCACGCAGGTCAAGAATAGATGATTATTTAAAAAAACCACTTTCAACAAAAAAACAAAAGGAAATTGATCGGCAAGTGGTGAAAATGATTGTTAGGGAGTACCATCCGTTCAGCGTCGTTGAAGACCCGGAGTTCAAGACTCTGGTGCATATGCTTAATCCAAGTTATAAACTCCCCACAAGGAAAACTGTGTCGTCCTCATTAATGCAAGCCATTTACAATGAAACTGTGATGACAGTAAAAGCACGTTTAAGCAGAGCATTTGCTGTATGTTTGACAATGGATGGATGGACTTCTCGGGCCCAAGACAATTTCATTGGTGTCACAGCTCATTACATTGCTGATGATAACAATCGCATGAGTTTAGAGTCGGATTTGTTGACCTGCGTATCATATTCAGAGCGTCATACTGCAGATAATATAACAAAAAAACTGCAAGAGGTTTTGCTAGATTGGGAGTTGAATAATAAGGTCACAGCTGTAGTTACTGACAACGCAGCTAATATGAAGGCAGCAGTTCGTGGAGGACAGTGGCGGCATTGGGGATGTTTTGCGCACACCCTAAATTTAGTTGCACAGTCGGGCTTAAAAGAAATGCAAACTATTCTAGATAAAGTAAAAGCAATCGTGCGTTTATTCAAAAAAAGCTCGCATGCATATTCACAGCTGAAAGGCACCACGGCTCGAATGCAGCTACCAGTCACAAAATTGATTAATGATGTTCCCACGCGATGGAACTCAACGTTCGATATGCTAGAACGAATTCTGAAAATGAAAGATGCCGTAATTGCAACTGTAGCTGTGGTACAGTCATCTGGGCAAGTGAGAGATGAAGTACTAACTAATATTGAGCTCTTAACAAATGAAGAACGGCAGGCGGTACACAAACTATGGAAATAATGAAAGTCTTTCAATACATTACAAATGCCATCAGCGGCGAAAAATATGTCAGTGCCTCGTCAGTAATAGTATACGTACGCCAATTACACAAACATTTGAACGCTTATAAATTTGATGACTTAACACCATCTGCACAAAGATTAGTTCTGAAGCTACTAAATGAACTAAATGTGCGATTCAAAGATTTAGAGAAAAACGAACTTATAGCGCAAGCAACTATTTTAGATCCGCGTATAAAAAATTACGGGTTTATAAACAAAAAAAAATATGATGAAGCGCTGCAAGCACTTTACAGGAAAGTAGCAAACACTGTTATTCAAAATGAAATTGATTTTGAGACAAGCACCAATGAGCAGCAAAATCAGTCCAGTAATGTGCAAAGAGAAGAGACGACTTCTTTGCTAACTGAGGGTGAAAAGTTTATATGGGATTCGATTGATACCGTGGCTCAAAATTATATACGTCCTAGTTGCCAGCTTTCATCTGCAATTGTAGAAGTTGACAAATATTTAAATGAACCTCTTTTACCAAGAAAAAATATTCAGGGTATGAGTAATGATATATTACACTGGTGGAAAGAAAGAAAACTTACCTACCCTAGGCTATACCAAATTGTTAAAACCCGACTATGTATCTCGGCAACTTCAGTCCCTTGTGAACGAATATTTTCCCATGCTGGACAAATAGTTAACGAAAAACGAGTGAGGCTAGATACGGGCAAAATATCGCAAATTGTGTTTTTAAACTATAATTTAGGAAAAGATGTTTAAATAAGAATCCAAAAAAATTTTTGTGCAAATGGCGGCAGGTTTGTCTCTTCGTAATAAATGATCTCCCTTTATAATAACAATGTGATTGGGTATTATATTCTTTTATTTAGTTTTTCCGAGAAGTCATATTTTTAGTTCTATTGTATAAGCGATTAGTTGGAAGGCGCAGTGTGGAAAATGAACTTTTTTTGACAAAATCTAATATTTCAAAAGCGAGTACTGCTAACGAAATTGATTTAACAGTATTTTAAAGCTTTAAAGATGAAGAATTTAGGAAAAAAGTATCGTTGGACAAAAATTTACCTTAACCTTTCAAGTTACTCTCAAAAATAAAGGATTTTATTTTTTTTTTTAATTTTTGACCTGAAAACAGTATGCAATGAGACATGTAAAAAGTTTTAAACTTTTTTTATACTTGTGTCAATAAATTATTATTTTAATTTTTTATTTTCAAGTTTATTACATGAAGTTTTTAGGTCAAAAACAAAGGAAACAAATTCAAAAATTTTACTTTTGAGGTTCGTACTTAAGGTCAAGGTAATTTTTTACTCAATGAGACCTTCAAACCATATATGTAATACTTCTATATTGATAGTAACCTATCTTCACAATGTGTTTTTACATATATGCATTAAAACAGTATCTTCACAATGTGTTTTTACAATGATCATTGCATGATGTTTTCAGGTCAAAAAAGAAAAAAAATGAAAATCCTTTTATTTGACAGTAATTTGAAGGTAAAGATAATTTTTTGTCCAACGATAATTTCTTCCTAAATTCTTCATCTTTAAAGCTTTAAAATACTGTTAAACTTATTTTGCTAGCTGTACTTGTTCCCGAGATATTAGACTTTATCACAAAAAAGTTAATTTTCCAAACTGGAGGCGACTGTGTGCTTTCAACCAAAAGTTGCCTGCGAACTCGCTTCATATAAACATCGTATTTTATTAATATACATACATTTTGTATCAAAATTTTTAATTTATTTTTGTATTTTTAGTTGCATAACATAAAATTGCTAATATTTGTTCCGTGTTGTTTGAAATAAATGTATAAAAAATAAACAAAGTGTTATATATGTACCTATTTTTTTATTGAAGCGCCGACATTTCTATAGCACATCACTGTACCAGTAATTAGCCTCTCTCCTTACTCACGATTTAGTCAGAAATAGCCGGAATTCGTTCCTGTATACACATTAATAATATCTTCAGTACTATCTTCCGGACTAATTCTGACTTAATGCTGGAGTACGGCAGCTGGCTAAGTGCAAGCCTTCCCGTCGAGAAAATGTTTACAATAAAATAAAAATTTAGAAAAAATCTCGGTGGTGCTTAGGTGAAAAAAATATTTTTTTACGAGTATAGTTGAAGAAATGAGTAATTGAAGGTTTTACGTCCCATTTTGGGATTTTCGCTGTTTTATGCATGGATGAAGATGTTATATACATATAAATATTTCTTAGCCGTAAATCAGCTGTTGTTATGAAAAATTTAGAAACTAACTACATACGTGTTGAACACACTATTTTTTATCTTTATGCGAAACTTTAAACTTATATAATTTTCTCGAATCGTAATTTTGCGACATACCACCTTCATTATTTATTCATGTCTTCAGTTAGTACATTTATAAAACTTTTAAATTAAAATATTGTATGTGTATTCCAATTTGCATAAATATGTATACTCAAATAAATAACTGACGGCATAAATTATCTAAAGTAATTTTAAGGCAACTTCAAATTAAATATTAAGGCGAACCTGTATTACAGTTTTTACGATGACCCTCCTTACGTTTACAAGCTGTGTATGTGGAAAAGTGTCTCAATGAGCCATTCGAAAGCTTCTGTATTTACACAGAGCTACTGACTTTGTGCATGGCGTAGAACTAAAAAATTACTGAAACAGCAGCGTAGCGTTGGAGAGAGATTGTTGTCCACCACATTAACACCGCTGCACCACATGAACAGATAGATATGGAAAATTGTCTGTACATTCCAAATCATGTTGTAAGTTGCACAGCAATATAACCTAGGGAATTCAAAGCGAGATAATAAAATACATTGCTTATATGTAATTTGAGAGATAATGTGTAATACCTTCGCTTGATGCTTGCGACAAAACTGATACCCATCGATTTCTCATTCGGGGGGAGCATTTCCTTCCCTCAACTCTTAGGTCACATCACCTTTGAAAACCTCACGCATATAACGTTCATTTGACCAATCAAAACTGAATCGAACTTAAACAAAGCAGATTCCACAACCTTTAACAAACGACGTTGAATATACCTGGTTTCAGTAGTTTCGTTAAGACCCTCCCACCACATATAGCGTAGAAAGGCGTTCAGCCGGCCCAAAGCGAATTTCCGACGGTGCGACTGAAAACCCTCATTGTATAAAATTAACTGTGGCGTTGTGCGCCGACGGTCTGGTTACCGCGTTGTATAAGTTTACCTCCAATGTTCTGTTGACCCACACATGCCATAACCTGAGAATATTCTCCATCTGGTACCCGGAGCACCCCGCTTTGCCTACGAATGAATCCAACGCCCGTACATAAATTGAAACATCACTATAGAAGTGGTGTCCGCAGAATTTCCAAAATAAATTAAATTTTCTGTCTATTCATCACATCAATAAAGGCACCCAACGCGTTAATTTACTTAAAATTTTATTAAAATTCATGTTTTCGTGTTTTCATTCCGACACACCTTAAACGAGAAAGATTTCTTCAAGTTTTCTTTCTTCGCCCTAGAAACAATCAGCTGATTTTGTAATTCATGAATTCGCCTCGGTGTTGCAAACGCAAGTCTTTGCCATGCTAAACACTGTGGCGAATCAGGGAGAGTTATATTGACCATTTCCTTTGCTACTACTGCTGACTCATTTTCATGCTAAACACTGTGGCGAAGCGAGACAGTTATATGGACAAATATGAGCCACTATGATTCAGTTGAATCATGTGAGCCTTAGGACATCAACTGAGTTACTGAGTTAAACTTTTTTTTGACAGGGAGTCTGAGTTACCGATTCACTGATGGGAATCAACTCAATAACTCAACTCTGAGTTGAGTTACCCACCTCTAATTCCCTTCAAGGCCAATGATTTGATGGTATTCACGGGAAAGTTTATGTAGGTACATTTACATATTTTACACTTTTAACATAATTGTCAAGGCAGACATTTTAAGATACACTTCTTAACAAACAAATTTTTTTAAGTTATTATAAATGTGTAAAAGAGACATCTTCTTTAAAATTAGTACACTGAAAATAAAATCTGCGTGAATATAACGAAAACTTGCGTAAATTTTTCGTCATTTTGAGCCACGAAAGTTTTCGTTGATTGTACAAAACCGTTTTCGTACATATTACGATTAGAGGAAAATTATAAGGCGCCTGAAAAGAAAGTTTCAGTGAAAAGTCATACATGTACTTACTTTTAATTAAATTAAGTAGTGCTCCTGGCTTGCCGTTGATAGGTAACTGATGAAATTGCCTATTTATCAAGTCCCACATTGCAGCGCAAGGCGCAGCGTAGGCGATGTTAAAAACATTGTATGCTTAAGACATAGTATATCCATAGCTTTAATATTTAATTTTGTATTGTTTTTTTTATCCAGCAAATCCCTTTTTAAAACGTTTAAAATTATGTTATACGTTTCACAGCAGCCAACAATTAATTCCGCAATGACACGCGATACAAAAAATATGATGAAATATTAAACTGCCGGTAATTGAGTATATTGTACGAAAATATTCGTATGTTGTACGAATTTAAAAAACATGTTTCTGCATTTGTACTTTATACGAAAGTATTAACTAAATTGTACGAATACAGAATTGTAAATTTCGTAAATTTTAAAACCATGCGTAAATATTACGAATGCCTTCCTACAATATACAAAATTATTCGTACATAGATTTGTTCAGTGCTTTACGAATGTGTTTCGTAAAATAAACGTAAGATTTCGTAAATTGTACTGAAAAAATGCCTTTCGAAAGTCCTTTCGTTATATTTACGTATGGTTCGTAAAATCTTGTTTCGTTGTGAAAAATGTGTTCGTATTATGAACGAAAGTTTCGTACATTGTAAAAAAACCAACACTACGAAAGATTTTCGTAGCACTTTTACGAAATTTTATTTTCAGTATACTAAAACTTGACATTTCTAGTGCTTATCAAAACTTTATACATGTTAACTAGATTCGCCGTTTATCTTAAAA